AACTTCTGAAGAAAAGCTGTTCCACTGGTAAATTGTCCTCCCCGTGAGGAAGTTTCTCCATAATTCCAGGTTGCTTCTCTCTTTGATCAGTTTCCAACCATCATTTCTCTCTGGTGCTTTGGAGAATAATTTGATCCCCTCTTCTTTGTGGTAGCCCCTTGGACTGAAATACTGCTATCATGCCCCTCTCCCCAATTCTTCTAGCCAAACTCAGATCCTGCAGCTGCTCTTCATATGTTTTAGTCTCCAGGCCTTTGATCATTTTAGTTGTTCTTCTCTGAACTTTTTTTTCCAAAGTCTCAATATCTTTTTTGTAGTTTTTTTGGTGACCAACATTGGTTGCAGTATTTGACTGAGATGGTATAAGGTCTCCTGCCTCGGGCAGCCACTTGGATTGGAAGACTTCCAAGAGCTCTTCCAGCCTTATGATTTAATGACTCTAACGCTAGATAAGTAGGCAGTCACAAACCATTTCTGAAGCCTTCCCAAACATGCCAGCAGTAACTAGTCCAGGCAGTCCCGGGAATCAGCAATGACTTGGACACACACACACACACAGAGAGAAAGAGAGAGAGAGAGAGAGAGAGGGAGGGAGGGAGGGAGGGAGAGAGGGAGGAGGAGAGGGAGGAGGAGAGGGAGGAGGAGAGGGAGAGGGAGAGGGAGAGAGAGGGAGGGAGGGAGGGAGGGAGAGAGAGAGAGAGAGAGAGAGTGAGTGTTAAAACCAGTATGGGCTGAGGTAGGAGTACAATTCAGGTGATTCCAAGGAAAGACATTTTTTTTAGAACAGAATTCTTTTTTGGCCAAGTGTGCCTGGACACACAAGGAATTTGTCTCTGGTGCACAAAGCTGTCAGTGTACATACAAGCAATAAGAGATAAAACATGATCATAGTCATCGTAAAAATACATTTATCATAAATCACAAGATACAACACTTAAAGGTAAAGGTAAAGGTTCCCCTTACACATACATACTAGTCTAGGGTCCTCATCTATGTTTCAAAGCCGAAGAGCCAGCGCTGTCTGAAGAGGTCTCCGTGGTCATGTGGCCAGCAGGACTAAAGGCCAAAGGTGCATGCAACGCTGTTCCCTTCCCACCAAAGTGGTTCCTATTTTTCTACTTGCATTTTTTATGTGTTTTTGAACTGCTAGGTTGGCAAAAGCTGGGACAAGTAATGGGAGCTCACTCCGTTACGTGGCGCTAGGGTTTTGAACCTCCGAACTGCCAATCTTTCTGATCAACAAGCTCAGTCTCTTAGCCACTGAGCTTAGTGATTGTCATAAGATACTAAAGAAGCAATCAACATAAATCATACTAGGATACTAAATAAAACAATATAAATTGAAATGAATATGAACCATAAAATGCAGTAACATAGATGAAATCATTGATCTCAGGAATTGTTACTGACATTGTATTCAGGATCTGGAGTTTATTGGGTCCGTTCATTGACCGTCCTTTACCGGTTAATATGTGACACAGTTATGATTGATAGGAAAATTGCTTTCACCTCAATTTTTAATCTGCTCAGAATTTAATTTCCCTGTGAGATATCCTCCCTGGGTCACCGTGTTGGCTGACGCAACTCACCATCCTGTGAAAAGGATGCCCCATGAAAATGTGATTTTATTTTTGCTTCTGCCAAAGACATGGCAATGAGTGACTGTATTTGCACAATATACTTGATCCTTTGAGGGAATGAATTCATTTTCATCATTTGCATGCAACATTGCATTTTAAGCTAACCAAGTGGCCTGAATTTATGCAATATTCTAAAACACGCACATAAATCACAGCGATGATTAAAATTAACTAAACTTAGGAAAAGCTATGCATGTTTTGTGACAGCAGCTGGACCGTTGACCAATAGCTTCCTCTGAATTTAAAAAGAGTGAAGATACATAGAATATAGAACCGTAGGGCTGGAAGGAACCTTGGAGGTCTTATAGTCCAAGCCCCTACCCAAGGTAGGAGACTTTATATCACCCTGGACAAATGATTGTCATGTGTATTTCTGAAAACTTTCATTAATGGGGCACCCACAACTCCGGGAAGCAATCTATTCCATTGATTAATTGTTTCCACAGTTAGATTTTTTTCCGCCTGAGTTCTGGGTTGGATCTATCTTTAATGATCTTCCACCCATTGCTTCCTGACCTGCCCAAGAATTGATCTGAATTACTGGTTGTGTCTTCCCTTTTCCTTTCCTTCCCTTTCTCCTTCTTTTCTCCTTCCCTTCCCTTCCTCTGTCTTCCCCTTTCTTTTCCTTCCCTTCCTTTCCCTTCCCCTTTATTCCCTCTCCCTTTCCTTTCTCTTTCTTCTCTTCCTATCTTTCCCTTTCCTTTCCTTTCCTTTCCTTTCCTTTCCTTTC